GCTTGATAGGATGTGGTCTCAGCAGACCAGCTGCCTAACTGTTGTCAAGCTGTTTTGTAGTTATCATGGCAAAGGGGTGTTTTAAGAAGAGATTTGGTGGTACTGTATTACTAAAGTTAATCTGGCAGCTGTGTTATACCAGCTCATCATGCTTCTATTCCCAGAGCTTCAGTTTTTGCATACCCAGTGGTAAAAAGGTTTTTAAGAAATCTTGCATGGATTTTCATCTGTTTATAAGCTTCCATCACCTTTGAGCTCAAATTGTGTGCCCACAAAACTTCTGGAATGAGCGTATGGAGATCCTAGAGCATACTTCCTGGTCCACTTCCTTGTGAAGCATATGGCAGAGACAGTGAATTATAAATCCTGATGACGGATACTCCTTTGCGGAGTGAACATAATATTGCATCCACCTCCTAAATTCCTGCTCAAGACTTCCATTAAAATCTGTTAACTTCCCTATACTTTTTTTTCAAAATCCCATATTGTACCAGGAGAAGCTAAATATTCTAAATGTAACATAAACTAGATGTCAGAGGAGTTCTCAGTGACTGTCTAGGTAGAACAAAATTTATAAGCCTTCCCAGTCTTTTTGTAGTTTATAGTAATAAACCGAGGAAAGAAACATCTGCTGCTCAGATTGTCAAAATGGATTAGATTTTGCATTCAGACTTGTTATAATCTAGTGGGTGTTTCAGTACCTGAATGTCGTAGAACACATTATAACATTTATACTAAGGTAACAGACATGACAGAAATAGCTTAGATAGGTAAAGCAGGTCTAACGGAGCTTCTACAGAAAGTCTGAGAGAGAATTTTGTCACAGAGCTATATAAGAACAGCCATACTGGGTAAGACCAAAGGTCCATCTAGCCCAGTATCCTGTCTTCTGACAATGGCCAATGCCAGGTGCGTCAGAGGGAATGAACAGAACAGGTAATCATCAAGTGATCCATCCCCAGTCGCCCATTCCGAGCTTCTGGCAAACAGAGGCTAAGGACACCATCCCTTCTTATCCTGGCTAATAGCCATTGATGGACATATCCACCAGGAATTTATCTAGTTCTTTTTTGAACCCTGTTATAATCTTGGTCTTCACAACATCCTCTAGCAAAGAGTTCCACAGGTTGACTGTGCATAGTGTGAAGAAATATTTCCTTTTGTTTTAAATCTGCTGCCTATTAATTTCATTTGGTGACCCCTAGTTCTTGTGTTATGAGAAGGAGTAAATAACACTTCCTTATTTACTTTCTCCATACCAGTCATGATTTTATAAACCTCTATCATATCCCCCCTTAGTCATTCCTTTTCCAAGCTGAAAAGTTCCAGTCTTATTAATCTCTCCGCATATGGAAGCTGTTCCATGCGCTTAATCATTTTTGTTGCCATTTTCTGAACCTTTTCCAATTCCAATATATCTTTTTTGAGACAGGGCATCCACATCTGCACGCAGTATTCAAGATACTACAGCTTCATCATATAGGTAGATGGATTGGGGTCCTAAGGTCCAATCCTCATGGTCGATACGGTGCAAGAGGTACCAGGCATTGCTCCCACTATCAGACACAGAGGTGGAGGATTGACTCGGGATGTCCAGGCCCTAGGCTTTCTCTGATATTGGATATAATGTTGAGGGGCTGAAAGAGCGGGTCAGTCCCAATTCTAAAATGATAGATTCTAAACCCAGAAAGAACCACTGTGCTCCTCTAATCTGCCCTCCTGCATAACACAGGCTATAGAATTTCCACAAAATAATTCCTCTTTGAACTAGAACATATATTTTAGAAAAACATCCAGTCTTGATTTAAGCCCACATGATATGGGCTTATGAAGTCAGGCTCCTGTATCATAGAATCATAGAATCGTAGGAGTGGAAGGGACCTCGATAGATTATCTAGTCCAGTCCCCTGCATTCATGGCAGAACAAAGTATTATCTAGACCATCCATGACAGGTGTTTGTCTAACCTGATCTTAAAAATCTCCAATGATGGAGATCCCACAATCTCCCTAGGCAATTTATTCCAGTGCTTAACCACCTTGACAGGAAGTTTTTCCTAATGTCCAACCTAAACCACCTTTGCTGCAATTTAAGCCTATTGCTCCTTGTCCTGTCCTCAGCGTGTAGGCGACTGGTAACTACTGATGGGGGAGGCACAATGGCAGCCTCCCCCCTCACCACCACAGTCACGGTCAACTTCCTGGTGACTGCCAAGGCACCATCCAGCAACACTCTCTTGACCACGGCGGCCCAGATCCCCACTCCTTCCCTTCGCCTCTGGTCCATGCTGCCTCCCCCGGACCCTGAATCCCCCTGGCATCGCCTATGCCTCAGAGATTAAGGAGAACAATTTTTTCCCTCCTTCTTGTAACAACCTTTTATGTGCATGAAAACTGTTATCATGTCCCCTCACAGTCTTCTCTTCTCCAGACTAAACAAACCCTGTTTTTTCAGTCTTCTCTCATAGATCTTTTTGTATTCTCCAAAGCACTTGCAACCCCTCCCAGCTTGGTATCATCCACAGACTTTATAAGTGTACTCTCCATGTCATTATCTAAATCATTGATGAAGCTCCTGGGTGTTCCCAGTGCAGTGTGTGCTGCTGCTGTGGTGGAGTGGGTTTGGCTCATCAGAATGTTCATGTTCAGTTATTTACGTGTTGCTAACATTTTCCTGAAGAATGTCAGGTAAGAGACATGACAATTTTAAGTAGTTTATATCACAGCTAAACATGAATGGAGTTTAATGGGACAAGAAAAGGTACTTCTCTGGCTCCAGGCCTTACTAGCAAGTCATGGGGCTCTGCCCCACATCATATCATATACACTGCAAGGGAATAAATTAGGGGGACTCAGGGCTCAGCCCCAAACAAACAATGGGCACAGGATGGATGAGGGGATGCCAGGGTCTGTGGAACATATGACTTGAATGCCTGAATTAATGAGTATTTTCCTGCAGTGCAAGACCTGGAATGATGAGCTGGCCTGGAACTAGAGGAATGGCAGAAATAAAGATTTGGGCAAGGTTCATAGCACAGTCCGCTCTTTGCTATGGTGTTTCTGTAACAGCAACTGATTGGAGGCCTGAACCAGGCAAAGGCAGGAGTTACTTCCTGTGAAGTGAACCTGTTTGTACCAGATATGTTGTATGCTGAAACACCTGTCAGAAAGTGCAGTAATGTATACACCCCTGAGGAAGTTGGCCTGGTAGTAATGCCTTCTAAGCCCATGCTATCCATTTCCCCTCTATTTGTGCAATGTACTAAATCCAAACTGTATACCCCAGATTATAAACAATAACAGGTGGCAAATATGGTCACGTTACCTTTACTGCTGTAGTACAGAAATATTTTAGCTGTTAAATATTTTTGCTGCTTAGTGAGAGCTGGGGTGAGTATTAGAAATGGACAAGGAGACTCAAGAGAGACTAGGCTAGGAATTGTTTGTAACCCATTTCCTCTTTGGGCTCGTCTGCAAATGGAGTTGTTTCTGAATAATTGTTCCTAATTAACTACGTCTGGACACACTAAGGCTAGGTCTACACTACCTGCCTGAATCGGCGGGTAGAAATTGACCTCTCGGGGATCGAATTATCGCGTCTCGTCAGGACGAGACAATCGATCCCCGAATCAACGCCCTTACTCCACCAGCAGAGGTGGGAGTAAGCGCCGTCAACGGGAAGCCGCGGAGGTCGATTTTGCCACCGTCCTTACAGCGGGGTAAGTCGGCTGCGATACGTTGAATTCAGCTACGCTATTCGCGTAGCTGAATTTGCGTATCTTAAATCGACCCCCCCCGTAGTGAGGACGTAGCCTTATTCAAGAATAAGAGTGCCTTGTTCCTGTTTAACTGTGCCAGACCAGTTAGGTTAAACTAATCAGGAACAACTCCAGATGTAGACAAGTCTTAAAACGCTACCTGCCTCACAATTATCCACAAATCAGGTATTGCCAGGAGTAGATAGTCTGTGACCAATCTCCTAGCTTTAAGAGTATTTCTACACTGGGAAAATACATCATATTAGAAAATGTGCTGACTAATGTGATGTTAAACACAGCTTAACATCTAGTATAGGAAGGGCTAGTCAAGTTTAAAAACATATTCGCTGGTCATGGTTAATCATAGGGTCCAGTGAACAAATTTTAAAACACGACTCTTCCTTGTCTATACTAGGTGCTAAGTCATGTTTAACAGCATGTTAGCTTACATGTTTTCTGATGATGCATTTTCCCAGTGTAGAACATATCCCAGGAGGCAAATCATGTGCCTATGGAACCAGGTTCTTCTTATCAAGTGGGGAGGTTGGGTGTGGGGTGTTGCATACTCCATCCACTCCATGGAGTCCCCTGTGCAGTAGCATGGAATGGGGACCATATGCAGGCAGAGGGTGAGGAACTGCTACAAGAGTTCTGCTGAAGGACATGTGGAACCAGTTCCAGTCGTCGGCTCTGCTGCCTAAGGGGAGGATCCCTGCCAAGCATCCAGCTCATTTGTTCAAATCTCTCTCTCTCTCTTTTCCTGTGTCCCTCTTTCCTGTCTCCCTCTCTTCATGCCCTACTCCTTGCCAGCTCCTCTTAGAGCTTTTCTAGACTAGGAAAAGAGATGTTTTAAAAAAATGTGTTAGCTAGTATAGCTAGCCATAGTATAGATAGGACAAGTTGCATGTTAACACTTGTTAGCTGGTCATATTGAAGCCTCTGGGGGCGCCTAGGCTTCATCTCAGCCGGCTAACACGTTAACATACAACTTGCCCCGTGTATACCAAGGTTTTAAAAAGTGTAAGGTTTAAAAACACAGTTGTTTTTAAAAATGCTTTTCTTCTAGTGTAGAGACACCCTAGTTTAAACAAAGACAAATCTAAAATGCTTTGTATTGCCTAGAGACAATCACTTCTGCTAACAAACCCTCTCTCTAAGGTCTAGACAGATATAAGTATTACTGTTCCTGGAATATGATGAATTCCTTGCCTCCAGTGTTTGGATATTCCCTGCTTCCTCCTCAGATCCGGGAGTTGGTTCCTGAGTCCCAGGCCTACATGGACCTGTTAGCCTTTGAACGCAAACTGGACCAGACCATTATGAGGAAGCGGGTGGACATTCAGGAAGCCCTGAAGAGACCGATGAAGGTATGACATGGGAAATGGTACAATTAGCTGAATCAGGAAAAACATCCTCAGTGTGATGTATTGGGCTGTGGAGCCATCTCAGTGGAGAACTAGTGGAAGCTCCATTGATAGAGTAGGATGACCAAGGCACTTAAGAATACATGGCGGGGAAACACCCTTCCTTGGAGGAGGACAAACTGAATGACTCAGTTCAGTAGCTCTCACCCATCTCTAATTTATGAGAGTCTTTACTATAGGAAATAATCCTCTCTTTCATTTACAAATATTATTCTTTGAGGTTTTTAAGAAAAAAAGAAGAGGAAATGGAGATAAGACAGTAGAGGTGCTACCCTAGATACACATTAAATATACTGTTAAGAGTTCAGTTTAAGACGGGAGAAAATAGGAAATAAAATAATGAAAAATGTTAGTCAGAAAATAAATAATCTTGTAGGCCCTGATCCTGCAAAAACTTAAACACATACTTAGTCCCACATTGGACTACTCATGTGAGCAAAGTTAAACATGTGGAAAATTGTTTGCAGGATCAGACCCAAAGATAAGACCGTTCTTCTCCAAATCCTCAGGCACCGCTCTTGTGTTATGCATTATTTTTTCCTGCATTTGCCAGGTCACTCTGTTCATTATATAATTCTGCAATGCTTAATTTGCTTGTTGATTCCAGCTCCATAGGGTAGTTCTTTTGGCCACTTCAGCTACTGTTTGCCCATACCTCAATCAGATTCCAAATCTCTTAGTATGAAGATTCTTACATCTATAGGTCTGTCAAGATGTAAAATAATTATTATTATCTGCATTATAATATGTCCAGAGGCCCAGCTGAGGTCAATGCTAGGCACTGTGTAGACACATTATACATTTTTTTTATACAATTTAAATACTTGAGGCAGACAAAAGGTGGGTAAAAGGAAGTACTATTATTCTTATTTTAAAAGTGGGAAATGAGACAGAGATTAAATGACTAAGGCCTGGTCTACCCCTAAATCTTAGGTCAACGTAGCTACATTGCTCAGGGCTGTGAAAAAATCCACCCTCTGTGCAACGTAGTTAGGTCAGTCTGATCCCCACTGTAGATGCATTTAGGTCAATAGAAGAATTCTGTCTCGGAGAGGTGAATTACCTATGTGGATGGAAACCCCCTTCCAACAATGTAAGATGCATCTGTGCCACTGTAGCCTAGACATACCCTTGCACAGAGTCACACAAGAAATCTGTGGCAAAGCCAAGAATTGAGCCTAGTTCTCCTGAAACTGACTTAACCACAGGCCCACCTTTCCTCACATCATCCATGAAACATTTAGCAATGTTGACAGTTAATGTGAAGCCTAGTGATGAGAGTTTAACATCTCTCATTGCTGCTGTTTCAGGCTCTTTGCAGATTTAGGAAGGCAACATTTTAGTGGTTTACAAGTTTATAGGCAGTAAGTTTTTAAGATTCTTTGCACATAGTGGGCTAAATTGTCAGTTAGTGTAAATTAGCATAGCTTCATTGATATCAATGAAGCTATGCCATTTTACACCACGATATGGCCCATTTAAAAAAAAATAAAAGTATAGATTCTCTTTGACAAATATGCAATAAAGGGTGGATTTTGTGGCAAATTCCTCAACCATGAAACTGAGCAATACTGAAAGCTTTCTAGCAGAACTTTATAGGATCTGGAATGGGAAAGTACATAAAGACTAGAACTTTGAGGTTTCAGCAAACATTCTGTTAATTCCTGTTTGCTCATGTAGTTGCAGTTAGATTTCATTTCAAAAGAATCATCAAACAGACATTTCTAATTTACCTCCAAACTCATGAATGATTGCTCAAATGCAGCAGTCATGAAATTCAAAATCTGTCAAAACAAAACTGAGATCAGGCAATTTTTGCTTGGTTTGGAGTATTCTTATTTATTTACATTATTGCTGGAGCACTGGCAACAGCTATAGTGAAGGATGCCCCAGAATTTCCATCCTAAATGCTGCTCTGAGTTACTTGTAACCCTGAAATATTCACTGTAGGAGCTGCCATTTTCCAGACCTTGTCTGTCTGAAGGTGAACTATTTAGAAGTTTTAGGGAAAATGGTTCAACCATTTTTGAATGAGTGGAGACTGGAAAACATACACTTACTCCATTAAAAAATGCTTTGGCCTTTGTGAGCAGCTGCAGTGCTGAAAAAAATGGCAGCTGTGGGGGTAGCTCAAATGGCAGGGACAAGACCTTGGGTTGGGGGTGGGGGAATGCAAGCATTGAGCCACCTGCCAGCTCACTCTACTGCTGGCAGCAACCCCAATCAGCTGTTGCCTTCTCCAACCCTTATCCTGCCTCCTGTCATCTCTTTTTCTGTCTCTTGCTCTCTCTGCATTAGTGCATTGCTATACCATGTCCATCACCATGGTGTCAACAGTGCCTCATCTTGCAGGCCAACGTTCATGGAAGGCCACTTCTGTTTTAGTTCTTTTGTAAACAACCAGTATAGCTGTCACAGGGCCTTGGGCCTCCGGGTGCATGTGTGCATTCTAGCATGCCTATAATAGCCAGGGCTGGATTTCCAGTTAGGCACAGTAGGCATGTGTCTAGGGGCACCTTACCTCTCTAAAACGACGTGCAACAGGAAGGTCAGCTGTAGGCGGGGGGGGGGGGGAGCGTTGAAGGTGCTGTGCCTAGGGGCTTGTAACCTGTAAATCCAGCCCTGTTAATAGCCCTTTAAAAGTGGGAGCTGTAGTTGGAGTTCTATGACTAGGGGGAGCCTGTGGCCAACAGGAAGCCATATAGAAAGCTTTCTGCCTTCTACACAGGGACAGTGGGCATGAGAGACTCAGGGTCAGGGAAGTTCAGGTGTGGATCTTTACATAGCAGGCAGGAAGGGTATGGCCTCTTCTGTCCCAGCCAGTGGGAACTGGGGAAGGCTTGGGGGTGTGGAGGCAGAGGGAGGGTGTGTGTGTTAGTGCCAGTATTTTGAGTTTAGTTGCTCTTCTTTTAAAATGAAGTTAGCCCTGAGCAAAGGACAAGGTGGTTGATGGGATCTTTATTCTACTTTCATGGTTGGTATGGAGGTGATGTCCATGTCATAAATTCCAATCATGTGAGAAATAAATTTGTCATTCATCTTTGCCCACTTCAGCTGGCCTCTCCCCATCACTCCATCTCCCCAGGACATATTTTAACACTCCAAACTGCTGAACAGCTTCAAACAGCTGCCATTTAAAAAACAAACAAACAAAATCTCAACTGGACAGTGAAATGTTTCTTTCAGACCTTCTCCTTGAGATGTGGAATTTCCCTCACAAAATTGTGAAAGGCTGAGGGTCAGGACAGGAAGATCCAGTCCTGCAGCAGTGTTGGACTTTCTGTACATAAAAAATTGCTGATTTTAAAGACAAGTATATCTAGCAGTCTTGCAGGGCTAGAAATTAGAGCTCTATCCCATTGAAAAGAAGATATTCCCAGCTTCTCAGTGGAACATACAGTACTTACTTCCTACCCTGGAACTTCCCAGTGGTAACAAACTCTAAAGTCATGGCACTTTTAGGTACAGAAAAGCAAATAATTTGTAGAGATTTTTAAAGGCTTCATCTGAGCCCCTCTGTGGTTCAAGTATTGGGTCCAATTCTGTACCCATTGAAGTAAAAAATGCAGAATCAGGGCCATGGTAATAAGTGTTTTTGGTTACACAATCAGAAGAATACAAAAGTAGTCCTGATAAATATTTTAAAACTCTAAAATATTCCAGAAGTAGTTTTTCTGTAACGTATATGGCTTTGTCACTATGGAGTGATATTATCACCTCTTAGGAATTATCAAACTGGCTCGGATCCATAGTCCCTCTAGTCCAGTTTTGAGTCACTGACAGTGGCTAGTACTAGATGCGTCTTAGGAAGGTGCAAGAAACCCTAGTAGATGGCTATGGGATAAGTTTCTTCCTAAATTCAATAGTCAGAGTTGGCTTATGGTCTGAAACAGAAGTTTCAAAACTCTTGTTTATTTAAAAAAATATTTATGGGTATAACTCTGGATATTCTTTGTATTCTTATGAATGTCTTCTCCCTTTTTCTGTCTGGCTAAGCTCTTGGCTTCAGTACCAGAAGCATAACAAGATCCAATGGCTGCAAGTTGAAGCTAGACAAATTCAGACTGGAAATAATGTGCAAATTTTTAGAAGTGAGGGAAATTAACCATTGGAACAATTTTGTCTAGGGATGTAGTTGACTTTCCATTACTTGAAATCTTTAAGTCAAGATCAGTTGTCTTTCTGAGATATGCTCTTGTTCAACCAGAGATTCTGGCCTATATTGTACATCAGGTCAGGCTAGATGATTATAATGGTCCCTTCAGGTAGTAAAAGCTGCATATCTTTTAATCTATATCATGTGGCAATGAAATCTACAGACTAATTGTACATTGTATAATATACTTGAAAAAATATTTCCTTTTGTCACTTTTGAGTTTGCTGCCTTTCAACTTCATTGAATGTCACTTATTCTTGCATTATGGACTGGGAGTTTCTGGTCTCCCTATCTACCTTCTAGTTTCATAGTCTCCAGGGCCAGAAGGGATCATTGTGATGGGGTGCTGGAACAATTTGTATAATGGTGGTGCTAAGAGCCATTGAACCAAACTGTAAACCCTGCATATGATGGAAACCACTTCAAGCCAGGGTGTGCGGCAGCACCCCTAATTCCAGTACCTATGCATTGTGATAATCTAATCTGACTTCTTGTATAACACAGGCCATAGAACTTCCCCAAAATAATTCCTAGAGTAGATGGTTTAGAAAAGTGTTGAATCTTGATTTAAAAATTGTCAGTGATGGAGAATCCACCATGACTCTTGGTAATTGTTGCAGTGCTTAATTACACTCACTGTTAAAAATTTAAGCCTTATTTCCTGTCTGAATTTGTTAGCTTCAGCTTCCAGCCATTGGTTTGTATTAGACTTTTCTCTGCTAGGTTGAAGAGCCAATTATTAAAGATTTGTTCCCCATGTAGATACTTATAGACTGTAATTAAGACA